GCAGGCCAATGGCAACTGGCCTATGAGTTAGGTTTCCGTTATCTAGAAGAGCTAGACGACGGATCCTCAACAATTTCACCTAGTTGAGTGTACAAAAGAGGGTAGTTTAGAGTGGTGAACACTTGTATTATAGTAAAGTTCCATGGAAACTTTGTAAATATGTTAAGATGCGTTAACCTATTTTTTTTTGAGAGTTTTTGTTTACAGATCCGGAATTCAGAATGCGTGGTGAAGAGAGGCCCTGAGAAGGATAACGTCATCAGAAGAAGTGAGGGCCTGACGTACAACTTCACCATGACGCCCACTGAAGCCCTGATCATGCAGTTTTGTTATGAATCTGATTATGTGTATTTGTGTTGGTTATTATGCAACTCAATCCCAGGAGAGCGAATAAGATGTTGGGGAATTTTATGTTTGTTTGTTTGTCTGTTCGTTTGACGACTCGTGATAAAGTTCTGGATCACTCAAATGACAGGCGTCCAGCATAATTCAGCTGTGCCTTCAGCAAGGGGGGATGTCACAACCAAAGGATGTGATTTTTGTTTTGTCTGTGCTTTGGCACCACTGAATTATTTTCCCGCCAATTTGTAGCTTTCTTTGCAGTGTGCATTTCTTCTTTGCAGCACAGAAATGCACTTTGCAAAGAGTTCCCGCCATTTGTATTATAATTCGAGCCCCATTATTGGCTTGCGTGAAATTATTCACACGTGGCGGCTAGCTATTGGCTTGCTAGCCGTATAAAAGGCTTGAGTGGTTTCCGCCCAAGTTGGAGGACTCCACGAACACCAAGAGGAGGAGACTTCACACTGTGTGAAGATCTCTAAGTGCTGCGGAGCCTATTGGACCCAGTGCATTTCAAGCAGGCAACAGGGGTCTGATCAGCCTCTAGCCTCTCCCTGTCGCCAATCGCAATCCTCAATGTATCCCTCTCCCTGCGCGCAAAAGGATCCACTTGCCTCGACAACTCCGTGGGAGTGATCCGAGTGTTGTCTGAGTCCTCAAATGAGGATTTAAGCGGAGCTGTGCCTGGGAAACTGTCCAGCCTACACCGCGACCATCTTTGGTGTAAGTAAACAATCTTGAATCAACCATTACGCGTCCGTGCCTAATTCCAGCGTGTCGCCTGTTCTCTCCGACCCAGCGTGCCCGGGTTGCTGGGCACAGCCCGCGCGGCGCGAAAAAGGGCCCAGATCACTCCCGGCCCGCACAGGTGGCAGGCTGAGGGCCATTAGTTTGCAGTTTATAATAAATGGAGATAACAGTAACTCCTATTTATGCTTTGGCAGCATCCAAGGCACCTGTTACAGGTTGAGTTAAACCTCCTTGGCCTATCCTTGGCAGGCATATCCTAGGGCCTTCATGTGAGAGAGTTAGCAGAGGCCGTTAGGCTTGTCACTGGGCAAAGCACAGGTGTGTGCAAGTCTCATCTATGTGGCATGGTTTTGCTGAGCAGTGTTTGTGTATATGTGTGAGACAGAGAGAGAGAGTCAAGGGGAGAGAGAGCGAGAAAGTGAGAAAGACAGCCTGGCCAAGGAGCTGCTAATGCAACCCTGGGACAAGCCTGCTGAGAGAGCTTTCAGAGGGAGCCTGAAAGAGGTCTGGTGCTGGGGCGAGGGCTCATTTGACTCCTCTCGTGTTCCAGGAAAACAGGACTTTGCACGTTCTTTGTATACGAACAGGATTGCACCACAGAAATAGCTGACTCCACATCCTAACAGGAACACGCTGCCAGGCCCTGCATCTTTGGTCAACTACTCAGGCTTAATCCAGATTGGTGTCCTATTATAATTAATCATCTATATTGCAGATGTACCCTAGAGACAGCAGGTGAAATCAGGGCCCTGATCACACAGATAAGAGACATTTCCTCTTTAAGATAATGTTAAAACAGTGGTTCTCAACCCTTTTCGTACTGGGACCCATTTGCAGAGATCGATAGCTTGTCTTGACCCACAGTGCCCTGCTCTGCCAGTCTCGGTGCTAGGCCACCTTCCCCCAGTGCCAGCAGGCATCTGCCCCTCTTCCCAACCGCCCCCCCCATCCCCTCCACATGCGCACACATGCATGCACACACTGCTCCCCTACCACCCCGACAGTCCCCAACCCCTGGCCCTCCAACCCCCTCTCCCCATATACTTACCTTCATTCGGCTGCTGGTGCTGCTCCCATGACCCTGCCTGGCTGCAAGCTGGCCATGCCCCAAGGAGCCCCTTGTGGGCTAGAACGCTGCCAGCCTGCAAGGAGACACCTGTGCTTTTGCTCATTTTTCACTTGCTTGCGACCCTTTGAAATATTCTTGCAATCCACTTTGGGGGTCGCAACCCACAGGTTGAGAAATGCTGGTTTAAAAGATGCAAATAGATGAAGGACTGGTACTGCAACATAAGGCTGTACATGACACAGCTTTGTTAGTCTCATAGGCTTCTAAACCATTTTCAAGGCTGATTACAAGAACCATAACAATGGAAGGGACCTCAAGGGTCATCTACTATAGGGGTGGCCAACTTGCGGCACATAGGTGGCTTGGGTATGTGGCAGATCAGGGAGGGGACAGGGAATGCAGTGACAGATAGCGCAGAAAGAAGAACAGCTTATCGGGGCTGGAAGCAGAAAGCAGAGCAGTAGACTGGGCAAGGGAAGAGGATTGGAGTGGCACTTCAGGAGGTTATGACACTAATTTGTAGCATGCCAGCCAAAAAGACTGGCCTCCATTGATCTAGTCCAAACCCCTGCACAAATCTAGGAATACTATTCCTAAACCAGTGGTGAGCATTGCAGCCTCCAGCCTATTGGCTTAACCTGGCCTCTGGAGCTCCCTATGTGTTTGGAAATTTGGTGGTGGGGGGGCAGTGGCAGCATTAATTGGTGTAGCTTCCAGAGACACAGCAATTAACACTGCCACTGCACCCCCGCCATCAAATGTCTGGACCTGCAGGGAGCACTGCAGGGTGGCTGCCATGGTCCTGCACATCAGATCATACCAGACATCTTTGTGGCCAGATCTGGCACATAGGGCTGGACTGGATCACTCCCACAGACTAACCCCACGCACTAACTCGATGCTAGATCTGGCCCACAGAATGACCCCACCCACAGGATCTGGCCTGAAGACTGGCCCTGTGCTACTCATCTGGCCTGCAGAAGCAGAAGAGGTTGAGCACTAGTGTCCTAAACCATTTCAAACAAACGATTGTGCAGACCTTTCTTGAAAACCTCCAAGGAAGATTCCACAAAAACCTTGGGTAGATATAAGATGAAGTGTGGCAGGGATAAGGTAGCTTGTGTGTGTGAAGGAGTGGGAAAAGGAGGGAAAACAGACAGTGTGTCACTTGCTGAGCCATTTTGTAAGCATCACGGCACAGGTGAGTCTGAGTCCTGCTCTATGCATAGCGGTTGCACCTATGATTAGAAAGGACAGGTAGGAAGGAAGATGTTCTCCATCCCCATGCTGAACTTGGACCATGGAGTAGCACTGAGAGGGGAGGGACTAGGGTTTCATGCCTTTGCTCTCTAAGCCAACACTCAGTTGCTGGAATACCTTGTGCCATGGCAGATGGCAGTGCCACAGGATGAAGACTTCAGCTGGGAAGCACATTACAGAGAGGGTCATGGATGAGTCCCATTTCTGCTCAGCCTGCAGTTTGCCAGTAGAGAAACCTTGATGAAGGAAAGAGCAGCTAGAATGGGTTGGGTGGCACGATTTCAGAAGGGGAGAACTGGATCAAATGGCACAGCAAGCACTGAATGAGAGTTGGAAGGGCAAGAAGGGCAAGAACAGTGGGTCCTAAGGCTTGTCCAATTTATGCTCTTTGCTGTGCCCACACTACCCCCTTCTGCACTCTCTCCTAGAGAACCTGTTCCTATTTATTCCAAATCCACACTGTTAAAATGAAGTTAAGAGTTCATGTCAATAGCCAAGGTAAACCAAATAGCCAGGATGCTGCAATTAGCTCAAATGCCAAGGAAATTCAGAGTTAAAATTGAATTTAAACAAATCCAAACATGATCCTGTGTGGAAATACACCCTCAGGGCATTGAAACAACCCCAACTCTGCCCTTTCTTTACACTATGAAGGGAGAAAAATTAAAACACATAACATGTCTTTGAAAGCCAATTTGTTCTCATCTAGACCCACAAACATCAAAATGCCTTTTATCACAACTGTGTGGATTTTCATAGAGTCACTGCAGGACAGAGCTAAGGGTTCTTTTGAAGAAAAAATCTTTCAAGAATAAGGAGCTACAAAGAAGTGAGTGTTAATCTTCTCTCTCTCACACATGCAAACACTTGTACCTACGCATAAGATTGTATTGGAACTATACTGAAGTTTGAAGAGTCTCTAAAAGGACAGAGTTAAGGCTATTTGGGTGCTTCAGACTAAGTTGATATAATGGAAACATCCTAATTTTGGCAAGCCCTCAAGCCTCATTTCATTAAGTTTAATAATAAGAACAATAACAATACCATCTATTTAATGCCCAATGTATCCAAAGCATTGTACATGGATAAACTGATTAATCATAACTACACCCCTGGATAAGCATTATTCACTGCTCAGATGAGAACAGCAAGGCTGCTGGGCGGTGAAGTAGTTTTTTAGGTCAAACAGTGAATCACTTTAACAGTGGACAGAAATAGATCGTTCAAGTCCAGTTCTCATGGCTTGCAGGTGGGTGAGGATGAGAGGACAGACTGAGCTGGACCCAATACAGACAGGGGTCCTGGAGCTGGGATCACAGGCAGGCCCCACTCCTGAATTGCTAATATTGCACCCCCATTCTCCTGCCACAGCCCCTTGCACGCCCTCTTTCCCCTTCCTGCTCACCTTCTCCCTTGAATGTCTTTCCCCCATCCCTCCCTCCTGCTGTTCCTCTAAACCCATTTTCCTCTCACCATTTACAGCTCAATTCTTTTGTTCAGCTCTCCCTTTCATACCATTTTTTTTGCCCTCTACCTCCAATGTCATCTCTACAGATCTCTTTCCCTCCCCCTTTTGTCCCATGCTTCTCCCCTCACTGTCTATACCCACATCCCCCAACTCTGAGGGTCTGAAGTGGCATCCCATAAGCAGGGGTTGCTCCACAAATCAAGGGTGCTGAAGTGTTGGCCCACCTCAGAGGTTATCTAAGACTTTAGTCCTTGTGGCCTAACTAGGAAGCATCCCTGTGGAAACCTGCAATTTAGGAAGGGCCAGAAGAATTGGATCAAAGGGGCACTTCAGGCACTGGATACCTGGAGGATGGCTGAGAACAATGGCTCCTATGGTTTGTCTAATTTATCCTCTCTGCTGCACCCACGTTGCTTGTATTCTCTTTTGCACTCCATGCTGGAGAATCTGTTACTAGTATTCCAGACACAGTGAAATTGAAGTCGAGTATTCACATCAGTAGCAAGGTACACTGAAAAGCAGACATGTAATGAATCCACTGTGTTCTATCCCTTCTGGATGTGAATTTACCTCTGAGATGTTTTTCCAGGCTGAGGCTATACTTGTGCCCCCTAGTAAAGCCTCAGTGCTGAAAGGTACAAATGCTAGCTACTCCAGACTAGTCCTAACCAGGCCCAAGCTACCTCAACAGCAGAGTCAGAAACAAGTCAAAACAAAGCTTTCAGTGACCACAGCCAAGGCCTTTTTGGGGGGATAGTTGTTGGCAGTCCCTTGATATGAGAATGGCAGTCTTCCAGTAAATAGGGGAGTCATTGGTGGGCTTGTCTACACATGCATTTACACTGGCCTAAATTTACTGTGTAAGTAGGAAAAGGTCAGTGTCTACACATGTAGATGACCCGGGACTTAATTTAGTCCTGGGTCAGAGCAGCCTGCCATGTACCCCTGCGGCCACCGGGGGGAGCTCCAGCATCTAGCCACATGGCTGTCAGCCCTTGGCACTAACTTTAGTCCCAAGTTGAAGCCAGGAGAGGCGGCCAGCCAGGAGCCCTGGGGCTGGGCTCAGGCCGGCCACCTAGTGGCTGGACAGACCCAGCAGGGAGCCCCCCTGGGTTACTGCACAGTAAAGCATCTACATGTGTGTTACTGCGCAGTAACCAATTGGGCATAAATCACCATATTTACTGCACGGTACGGGCATGCACCTGTAGACGCATGCCCATACTGCACAGTAATTTTGGTTACTGCGCAGTAAATCCGCATGTGTAGATGCCCAGTGAGTCCATATTTAGGTAACTAATCCCAGATCCACAAGTTTGAATGTAGATATGGCGCACAGTTCCAGGAAGGAGTAGATCCTGGTGATGTTGAGTCACAGATCTTTTCCTTTATTTCTCTTGTCTATCTACCTCCATAATGAGACAAGTTTGCATGAAATGATCAAAGCCTCATCATACATCACAGCATCATTGCAGACAACTCAATGTTTGAGTCTCCCAGGTACTAATGTTAATACTGAATTTATTCACACTGGCCTTCAAGGTGTGCTTGCATTTTTCTTCTGCTCACCTCTAGAGCGGTGACCATCAGTGAGCTGGCAGTGCAAGACCTGTTTTGGGAGCTGGTTGTCAGGCATCCTTATGACATGTCCTTTTCAATGAAGCCAGTGCCATATAAACATGTCTTTAATGTTGGTGGCATTTGCTTGAGCAAGAAGGCTGACATTCACTCTTCTGCCCTTCCGGTTGTATAAAGGATTTTCTGAAGACATTGATGATGGTAATCTCCTGGTAACATACTTCATTCTAGAGGACTGCTGCAAATTCTGTTTAGATTTCCAAACAAAAGCTATGCTGGAATTGAGTTAACATGGGCCCACAAACACTGAGATACTTAATCACGTTGGAGAAGCTGAACGAGTCTGGGGTATTCTGCATCGGGTTATAAGGGGCAAGAGGAAAAGCCTGACACTGGGTGTGAGATTTCTAAAAGGATCTATTTTAATTAGTTTAGAATGCCTAAAACGATTAACAGATGACCCTGTAAAGGCTGCCATTCTGAGAATATGCTGTTTTTTCAGTTAACCATCAACCTACGCCAGAGCCGCTAACCACACAAACACACATCCTTCTAATCATTTTAATCGTTTTCACCATTCAGACAGAGAGCCCCTCACCATGCAGCTAATATGACCTGACCACATGCTCTTGACTGAACCACCTAAACAGAGCACCAGTGTTGGGTTCTTAAACCCTTTGGAGCAGAGGTGTCAAACATATGGCTTATGGACAAGATCTGGCCCTTAGAACTCTGTTATCTGGCCTGCAGGGCTCCCAGAGTGGCTGTACATTCAAGAATAGAGCATGCAGGAACAGGGCCCACCACCAAAATCTAGGGCACAGAGTCCCCGTTATGGACACGTCAGTGGCCAGGGGTGAGCAATGGCTACATTAATCCCTACAACAGATTCCACTTACCCCACTGCATCTAGGGCTCCTCCACAGCTCCTAGAGGCTTCTTCAGCATACTGTAATTAATTACAAGGCTGCTTCAATGCACTGTAATTACAGTGCATCTGAGCAGATTAATCGAGTCTGCTGGAACGTGGTAAATACTATGCTCCATACGACTCCAGTGTCACGTTGTATCAGCGTCCCTGTGCTGAACATGGCAGCAGGATGCTTTAAACTAAAGCTTTTTCGGTGAGATTTAGTTCAAAGCACCCTGCTACCGTTTTTCAGCGTGGGGACACTAATACATGTGATGCTCCAGGCATTTTTAATTAGCGTGGCTCTTGGAGCTGTGCTAATTAAAGCACCTTCCCCTCCCTGCCGCCTCCCAGAGCATGACTATAAATGCCCCTAGAGCCAGGCCTGGGGCTAGGGCAAGTTTGACACCACTGCTCTAGGAATAAGCTGTAGAACTTCTTGAGGAGTGGTTAGCTCCCAGAGGCCTGGGACCTATTCCAGGCACAGGCAGCATCAGCCCTCATAAAGGTGGGTCCCTGAGCAATGTTTGCCTGGCCCTTCCAGCTGTGAGGTTCAGCAAAGTTATGCTGCATTCAGCAGGCAATGGGCTGGTGCAGGACACTCAAAAAAAGTTGCAAGGAATGATTACCTTGGGTCAGCTCACAGCTGTTGTCCAAGCTGATGCTTTTTCCTATAGTAGCTGCCATTTTGCACTCTACATTCTGAGCCTTCATTTAAAATTGAATAAACCAAACTCTAGCTTTTAAGTTAGTAAAGGAAACCTTTCATATCCACATGAAGGTGCTGATGGTATCCTCAGCTGCAGGTGGCCTAACAAAATAGGTATGAGGGGCAAAAGCAATTCTTATTTCAATGGGCTGTTCATGCTAAAGTCTAATAATGGGCATGTAAGTGGCGCTCTCAGCATGGAAGGAAGGAGGATAAGCATAGTAAGGCAATCTATGTCTAGCATCTGGTTTGCCACACCCCAAGAAGCCAGAGAAATATCCACAGGGTGAAGGAAAGAGTTAACCAGGAAGCAGACAGGCTCAACTGTCTTGTCCTATTATACAGGTTTGTGCTCCTTGCTGCTCAGCCTAATTCATCTTCACATTAGGGAAGAACTGCTCCTGTTTTAAATGTTGGGAAAAAGGAAATAGGATTTACTCAAGGCCACAGAGCAAGTCAGAGATGGAGGCAGGAGAAGTGGCTTTAATTCCTGACTCCTAGCCTAATGCTGTAATCACTCAGGCATATTCCCTCACTGAGCTGGCCCTGCAAACCGATTATGCACAGGGAGTAAGCGCATAGGTTTGCTGTTCTAAATTAGATCATCAGTTCATCAACTAGAAAGGAGCAACGACCCCAGGGAACTCAAGTTAGACAGATGAGTTCTCTTTGCTGAGGGGAAAGGCTGCAACAGCTACTGCATCAGGTAAAGTCAAAGCTCCTGCTAAAGTGACTCTCTTCTTATCACTCACAAGAGTTACAGTGAGGAGCTAAACTTTTACATGCTGGCATGTGCAGTAGAAGAGGATAAGACACCAACTATTCAGGGACTTCACTGCTTTGCTTAAGAGAGCACTGTGTCATGCTTGTCAGAAAAGTCTATAAAATAGGATTCCTGGGGTCAGTTCCTGACCCTTTGGAAGGACTTGGGAAAAGGACTCTTATTTTTGAAGGTGTCCATGATAACTCTTCTACACTTGTCTCATGCCGGGCACCCAAAATTCAAAATTTTAAGCAGGTCTGAAAGTCTTGGTACCTTTGTAATCTCCACTGCCAAATAAGGATGTTGATTTGCATTGTACCTCACACAGATTCTTGGAAACTTAGTTTACCCATATTTGTCAAGTGCTCTGAGAGCCTGTATGAAAGGGAAAGGGGAGGGAGGGAAATAAAGTATTTATGTTAATACTTTAATACATGAGGCTCAGTATTCCTGTCTGTCATGCTTGTACCTTGTTAGTGGCAACAGGCAGTTTATTTCCAGGCAACTGCCAAAGAAAAGCTGCAGGCTGATACAACACAGAGAATGCAGAACTCTACTTACTGTCAATTTTACTCCTGTATTTTATTTTCTCCTCCTCCCATTTATTATTAATCTGCATTTACATTTAACTCTGGCTTTCATCCTCTGGTAGAGGCCAAGCCAGTGCCATGTTACTGTGAGGAAAGAGGGAAAGAAAAGCAGGATCAGTATTGGGCTTTGAGATGCCTAATAGCCTCATCAAGCACTCTTCCATATCCCCAAGAATGATCCAGAAGCCACTGCATTTGAGAGTGCAGAAACTGTCAGAACCAACCAAGCAAGCAGTCTATTCATCTAGTGCAACGGGCCTTCGACTCAAAAATGCCAGTTCTTAGCTTGCACTCATGTTCTGACTACAAAAAAAAATAGAGCAATTCTTCTGCTGCAAAGCTCAGAAAAACAGCAGCACCTCAGAGCTGCTTTTGACAATATGGATTCCTACTTGAAATCTCTGGGTTTACCTTGTGAATCATGTGTAGGTGTTTGTACACGTAAGACTGCTAATACTGTGTGGCACTCTTAAAAGGATCTTGTGGCACCCTGGTTAAGAATCACTGGCCTCTGATATCTTACCTCTCACAATGCTAGAGTAGCTTCTTTATGGGAATGCACTTTCCAATCTGCAGCACTTATATAGCCTCCAAACCCAAAGCACATAGGTGTTATTTCCCTTCTATATTTCTATCCACAAGTATTCTTATCTTTATTTTTGTCTTATCCTCTTCAGAGCCGCCTTGTGCTCCTGGTCTCAATAATAATCTTATTGTATTGAGTTTCGCGTGTCCTGCACATAAAACTGCTTCTTTCAAAAATGTGATTTTTTTTTTCCTTTTAAAAGTTAATACAAATATAAAGAGATATTTAAATATGAAATAAGATAAATAGGAGCACAACATTCGCTGTCTCTCTCCTCTCCAAGGTAAACAATTCCAATCTAAACATCAATATAAACACCAGTCTCTTCCTAGAGAGATTTTTTTCAGGCGTTAAATCATCTTCATCACCTGTCTATTTTTGTTACACCCTTTTTGAGCAGAAATGAACACAATGTTCCAGAAGAAGCTGCACCCATTCATTTATATAATAGCATTCTAATATTTCCTTTCTATTCCATTCCTTACACATTTAGATTCATTCTGCTTTCCTTGTTTTTCCTTTACTTAAGTGCAAATGAAAAGCCCACTCAGTCTCATCTTTCAGCTAGAGGTAAAATGAATGTAATTCATTGTAGAGAGTTCATAAATCTTCCAAAACGGAGGAAAAAAATTACACATACATGCTGTGCATGATAATGCTTTCCACAGCTGTGTGGAAGACACTAAATATATTGCACAAATCCTAAAAGATCCCATATTTCCAGAAGGCCTGTGAGCCTAGGAGAGTCTAGACCCAAAGTCAGGTTTGGGAAATTTTCCCCCATGCCTTCATCAGCATCAGTAGTTGAGCTGGCCAAAGCACTGCTTACTCTTTATTCTGCCTGGCATGAGCATCACTGCCTTGAAGCATCCAACAGGATAGGAATGTTGTTGCAAATGGAGAGAATGACTCTCCTGCTCAATCTCTGGATGGTGAGCAGTGTTCAGTCATAATGAAGGTTCTTCAACGCACCTCCTCCAAATCTTTTTCTATCTGAAAAGCCAGGAATCTGGAGATAGGGAAGATAAAAGATTTTATGTCAGAAGCAGGGGGAATGTCTTCCAGCCCCTGAGAACATGCATATTACCTATAATATTACATATTATTGGGCAGCATCACTGCCTTCTCCTCCTGCTTTTCCAGGCTAGGGCTTGAGGGAATGCTCTGGCATACTGTTAGTGGGCACTGCCTAATGAACAAGATTCAATACAGAGGTCCTGATCATGGGTGTTAAAGATTATGTGAGGCATTCTGAAAGAGTTGCACCACAACATGAGCCCAGTTATTCCAGACAAATTCCAATTTGGTTAGTTACACAGTCCCTTACTGAGGTCCCTGCAAGTTCAACTGTACATAGAAATCTTCACCACCTCCTTTCCTACTGTGCTGTATTAGGAGAGAGGTTGAGGTTTGTCCCAGCCACCAAGAGACAGCACTTCAGCAGTCATTGGCATGACAGCCTTTATCAGTTTGTGAAGCTATCAGGATGAAACAGACTGCAATGATGTAAAATGTTTGTACTCTTTTTCTGCTGCATATATGCACCGTGCTGACACTGACCATCCATTCTCACCAAGGAGATCTATTCTAAACCACCACCAGATTCTCTGCTTCAAGAGATTTCTAACAGATTTACACTTCAGAGCATCTCATGGCAGCATCTCATGTAGCTGTCCATAAGACCATGGCTCAGGAGTCATCCTACTTGTCTACACAGAGGCACAGGGGAGGTTTCAGGGCAGCAGCCTCTCTCCATGTCCTTTCATAGCCATCTTCCCCCTTCATTCAATCTGTTATATAGCAGCAGTATCACAATGTAAAGAGGAAAGACATCTCAGAATTGGCCAAAAGCAGCATATGTGAATACATGTGGGTGGGGCAAATGCTAATTTAGAACACATAAGAGAGACTGATGGGAGTATGCCCTGTTGTGGTAAATAAAGAAAAGTAACACATTTTAGCAAAAATGTCAGTTTAGTCAGGGCTTTTTGACTCAACATTCTTGACAAACCTCAACTGATGCAAAAGTGAACTCATAGGGCACATCCTGATAAGTGTGCATGTGCAGGGGCATGCATTTGCTGCAGCGCGCACCCCTGCATGTGGAGTTTGGTGCGGGGCAAAATGCCCCGCTTTGGGGAAACGGCTATTTCCATGCTCTTCCTGGCTCTCGGTGTGTCGGAGGAGCCAGGGAACAACTAGAGGAGGGAAGATGCTCTGGCCAGCAGCCAAAACATCTGCCTGGAGGACCTAGCCTTTGTGTCTGTTGGTGCACAGTGTCACTTTTTTTTTTGTGGCATTTTTTTTTGGCACCAGGATCCCAGCTTTAAGGTGTTGCAAACCACATGTCCATGCTCATCTGGATGTGCCCACAGGGTGCATGTATGTCGCCTCCCTGCTGACAGAATAAGCCGTGCCCAGTCCCACTGCAGCGCATTAGGGACAGCCAATTAGTGCAGACTGCTCAGGAGTTGACTGAAGTGGGCCCGAGCACCTCTCATCATTCCCCCAGCATTGCTGTCAGGCTCTCCTATGACAGAGCTCGAGTACAGCTCCAGGGGGGACACTCAGGGCTGCTGCAAGCTGTCTATTCAGCCTAGCTACCAGTCTCTGGTGTGCCTGAGCAGGAGCAAGTGGGTAGGGCTTATTTATTGGCAGCAGATCCAGGATCAGAATGGAGGCCTTACAGATGTGCCCATAGATATATTTCATGCCCGCAGATATACTGCACAAATTCAGTCAGCTCTGAAAAGAAACAAGGCAACTTTACACAAGTTACAAATAATGTAGCTAACTGAAACTGCCTGGGGGTGGGGAGCAGGTTAAGTGGAACAGTTCCAATGTCATAGCACACCAGAGTTAGCTACCGTACTGTTGTAAAAATCTGCTCAGCAATCCTTAAAAACCACAAATGAGCAGAACCTTAGTTTTATGCCTTATTCCTTTATTCGAAAAATGATATGTCTAGCAGCACAGCACTCCCTGGCACCACTCTTGGGTACTAGTCCAATGTTGGCTCTGAGGGGAGAGGCAACACATTCACTAGCAATTTCACACAGCAATTTCAACACATTCACTAGCACTGTTTCCTACAGTATCCTCTATTTTTTGGGAGCCTCCCACCAAGCACTTGATGATCTGATCATATGCTGCGATCTGACTGATATACTGGTATTACCATTTAAGGACTGTTCTTCCATCCATGCTTTGAGATATACAAATGTAAGTTTCCCAGCTCACAGATGGGCAGAACAGAGCCTGCTGCAAATACCACACCTGTTTATGTGGAACAGGTCACTTCAGGCAGTAACAAAGGTGGTTGTACTGAAGCCCTGGTGTCTCTCTGTTGCGTTTTGTCTTTACAGTATGCATGGTGACTTGCTTTTAATTTTGTATTAGACATCTGGGCTGTTACTGAGAGCGCAGATCAAAATAGTCAGCAGTGTGCCCTAATCTTTAGCTCACAGTCATAAAGATAACCTTTGGTTACCCCCTAAAACCATTCATATGAATAAACAGATCTTACATCACAGTGTCATACCCAACCAGTCAAACAACTTGAAGGCAGTTGCTTTAAATTATTATCTTCTTGGAATGGACATTTTCTCTTATTAGCGTACAGACAAAAATGCCTTTGTAGAATTGAAACAGGAGAAAGCAGATTTTTTTTTTAAACAACCAACCAAAAATAGAATTAACTTAGGCAAAAAAACCCACAAGGGAAACTATAGCATACACTGATTTTCCTTACACTTTCTCACCCTCCCTATGAAGCTTTCAGCACAGGTATAGTTAGTAGACCTACATTTTTTTATTGTTTGTATCAATGTGAGCACACCACACAAACATAAATCTCACTAAATTCTTGTAACCTGTGAAGCAGGTTGGTATTATTTCCCTCCCACCCCTGTTTTCATTAGGGACATCCTGCAAAGAACAGAGGGGTGAAGTGACTTACCCAGTCCCCAATTCTACCTAGTTCTTTACAAATTTGAAAAGACTAATTTATGAACCATGTGCCATCCTGTGCCATTGCTCTGGTAGCTCCATTGCTTTCTGTAGCATTGTTTTCTTCTCCACATTATCTGATCCCCAATCCTGACACATCAATTTGAAATGGTATTAGTATTTACTATTTCACCTGCTGACTTTTTTTTTTTTTTTTTTTTTTTTTTTTTTTTTTTTAGAGTCAACACATCCCACACTGTACATGCAGCTTGTACTAACTGACACTGCTTTTCCCCTGCATCCTTCCAGTATAATTATTAATTCCACTACTATTCATTGATGCTGAATCTGTGTTCAGTTTGAGGGCCCAAGATCTGTACTCTAAAGGACAGAGCTTTGTCTACCAACAAAACCAGAGTTTGCATCATACAAGAAAAACATGGGAAAAAAAAGAAGCACAGACCTGATTACCATCTCGTAAAAAGTACCTCTTCTCTATGACCTGGGGAAAGCAATCAGAGAATGGTCTTAGTAGTCATTGTACGTACCTAACCTTATAAACACAGTCAACACTTGTGCAATAGAGCTGCAGTCATAGTCATCTAGAAGATGATGAAAATTCCTGGTTTTAGCTGCCTGGGACGGAGGGTGATATGAAAGCAGAGTCCAGCCCGAGGGGTAGCTCAGAATTATATAGCAACCCATCCCATAAGAGAAAATCCTAGCCAAATGGTGGTGTTTACAATGCATGGACTATAGGGGAAAGGCAATTCCTTGGCTCCCAACACCCTTCCCAGGAGAATGAATGGTTGGTGCATGTAACACAGGACCAGTGCTGTGCAGTAGTACCTGCGCAAACTGTGCATATGCCACCTCTGGAACTGGAAGCAGTATAGCCACATGAGCACACTCTTGCACCTGGGCTAATCACAGGGTTTGAACATACAGGATTCCAAACCAGCTCTCAGGAAGTGGAAGGTGAGCGAACTAGCTTGACCACTTCCTTAGCTTTTAGAATACACATGGGCTTCCTAGCGTAAAATAGTGCAGAACAACTTAATTGAATCTACATCACCTTATCAAAAAACCTGCTGAGCTTGACAGCATTGGATGAACCTGCAGCCAGATAGCGGGGGTTGGTGCAGTCCTGGAACACACAAGAAGCAACTCAAAGTTGGGAAATGTGTTACACAATTTTCACTAAGGAGCAGGGAAACTGCTGGGAATCACCTGGTACATGGCACAACTCTTCAGCTATCAGCCTCTGAAGAGGAAGCAAACTGAGTCATGTCTCCCCACACAGAAAGATCAGCTGGAAATTTTTTGGAGGGTTCAGAATAGGGTGGCCATCACAGAAGACATTCCTGTTTTCTACTACTCTGTCCTCTGCCGATATGAAACTCGATGCCTTTATGTCCTATGTTTCTCTCTTCAAGAAAAAAATAGAGGACATAAAGGCATTCGGTCTCATAACAACAGAGGACAGAGGAAAACTGGACTATCCTCTATGATGGCCACCCTAGCCCAGAAGCATCCCTTTTGCAAACATGAGCTAGGATTTTTTTTATTTACCCCTTAGGACCGCTGACTTTTTCCTGTTAAAAATGGTTCCCTTAGTACCCAGATAAGCTAAAGGTGCTGGCTTGACAGCTCCTAAGATTGATACCTTCTGTGCCCACAGAGTACAGCAGAGGAAGCTTCTTTTAGCCAGGTCCTGCATTTGTCTCTCAACCTGGATTTGGAGGCATATCTCTAGGCATAAGAGAAAGTCCAGCCTCTACACCTGTAAAAAGTCTAACTTTGTATCTATGTCTCCAGCTACCTATACAGCAAAGTGTTGATTCCACCCAAGAAATGGTACATCTGGGAACAGATGTTGTCTTTGTTGGATTCAAAAGAGTTTCTGGAAGAAACAAGAACAGGATCAAGAAATCCTAACTCTAACTCCCTGCTTTAAAACTGAGAGCACTCTGACTCCCCACCTCCAGCATCTTCGTTTATCTGAACCATGGTTAACATTTCACCACTGGGTAAGCATGCAGTGCTGACAATGGTGCAAACAACCAGGAGACTCAGAGGGCAGGCTGCAGCAGTCCAGTTCCTGTAACTAGATCCTTATCCACTATAAAACCACCACCTTTTACACAAAGTGAAAACAACTGTTGACAGAAATACTAACCAAATTAATCTCTTCTGCATTGAAATCCTCAGCCAGGAAAGCTGTTCTGGTCAAAACTTCATTGCGCTTAGCCTCTGGGATCTGATCCAGTTTGGTTCCTATTACCAGTAGGGGAATCTGGTTATCAGCAAACTGTTCACGGTCATAGTCCCTGTGCAATGAAAACAGAATAAATATAGCCCTAGGCAAGAGAAACAGCTCCACAAGTTGACAAAGGGAAACAGTGTTCTATTCCTTCTACTCCAGGTGGGTAAAGGGATACTTGGATACCCAGTATGCTGAAAGCCAGGAGATACATTTGTCTGGGCCATGGGGGAGGGTTTCTGTAGATGAATCATGGTAGAGAAGGATACTGAGAGGGAAAAGAGAAAAGGAATTTGCAGTTAGTACCCCAAACATGCATGAGGATTCTTATGTGAAAGCATCCACTGGAAGGTGTGAGATAACACAACATTAAATGGGAAAAAACAGAAATGGAAGGACAACTAACAGGCTGGTTTACTGCACATACACCAAAGGTATGATGTCATCTTATAAAACGGGTCAGGGGAGCTGCAATTAAAGGTTAGTTTTAAGCATTCTTGGTTAAATTCTGCTGTGATATCTATGAAGTCTCAAGCCTCTCTCACAGTATTCAAATGCAGCCTTGTTTTCAAGGCTGTACCTGAATATTATAAATTCATACAAAGACACTCCATGAAGAGATAGGAAATTAATATCTCCCCTGAAATGTTAGCCTCTCCTATGAAATAGCAAGGAGGTTGCAATTAGATCAGCTGGGCATTAAATGACCCATACTACCACATGCAGGAAAAGACAACTGTTGTGACTATTGTGACTTTTGACAAGTTTCAAGTCAAATTTAAACAGCAACAGAAATAGCCTACACAAATGAAATTAATGAAATATATATTTTAAGAGAGAAAGACTAGCTCAGATGCAAGAGATCAATGATTCATTGTTAACTCAGAAACCCTAACTCAGACTATTCCCCCTTCTTTCTTCAACAAAAGTTAATTTCATTTTCAGGTATGTCAAGCTTCAAAAGAGTTATTCTTCTGCCCACAAAATCAAAGACTAAGACAAAAAAAAAACCCTCCACTGCTAACGTTCTTTTATTTAAATAGAAGAGAAGTGTCAATATAAAAAACAGCTGCAGGGAATCTGGATTTGGAAGAAATTCAAGATGGCAGCTCAATACCATATGGGCTGTAGAACCCCAGTCCCCAAGTTTTTAAAAACAAACAGAAGCATGTGTCTGTAGACACACATTTGTGTCTTTCTTCCCACCAAACACTACCTCATTTCACTGCCATCCTTGCTTGCATGATTTCTCAAAGGTCTGAAAATCTTTTCAATTACAATTGTAAAAACAGAATAGGAGAAGATAGGAACAAATCCTCCATAAGATACAAAGCTAATTAGAAACAGGTATTCTAACAGATTTTTGCAAGGTCCTTGAGAAAAATCCTTCAGAGAAATCTGGCAGATTTAGTGACTTTTACTGCTTCTCAAAGTAAAAGGCCAGTCTGGACATGGAAACAATCAAACACTCAAGGTATTTTTTGTTGTTTTTAATGGTCCTGCATGCCACAAGCAGCCACCAAGACTTTAGGGCAGGGGTCAGCAGCCTTTTGGTGGCATGGATTGGAGCTTGTGATCTACATATGGCTGTAGGCTAGAAGTCTCTACTGTGGTCCCTGCCACCTCCCCCCACACCTCCATTGTGTCTGGAACACACAGATCTCCACCATGGATGCTTTGTGACGGAATGGACCCATGCAGGACAGATTCAAACCATGGGCCATAGGTTCACCAGCCTCTACTTTAGTGTAGCAGGGAATTAAATAATTTTCATGTGGCCTCAGAAACATGGCAGGAAAAGCATGCAGACATATTCTTCTAAACCCAGGCCACTGTCAGACAACTGAAGAGCCCAGCAACAGCCAGGCCTGCTCTACAGATGCAACAGAAACAGCGCTTCTCTTCTGAAGTCCCCTGGCTTTTCTCATTTCGCCCTAGAGCCCTGCCCGAGAATTCTGCACTCAGTCAAATGTCTTGGAGAGTTCAAGTGTCCTTAGTGATGACCAGAGATGAACAAGGACATGATAGACCCAGATGATATTTAGGGCTGTGCGTGTGTTTGTACACTCACCCATTTGTTACGAGAACTCCTGTTGGAACCACATCCCTGTTGAGGGCTTCCAGTGACCAGCGATACAAGTTTTGAGAGGACTTTTTGTTGGTTAAGTCATGCACCAAAATGATGCCTAAATGGAGAGTTAAAAAAAGACAGGATATAACTTGACATGTTCCCTAACCTTTGTATTTGATCCAGAATCTCTGGAATTAAGAGATAGTTTGGTCTGAAACATTAGGAAAAGGAACCTGTTAGGTACTTCTTTAAGTAGTCTGTCATTGTGGAAATATGATAGCATTTCTAAACATGACCTGAAGCAGGAACGTGGTAGGATCTAGTTTTCTGCCCTCCTCTGTCTCACAATTAAAAACAACCTCCATATATTCCTTTTTTTAACATACTTTAAAAAATGATCTTAAAATCATCAG